GCGCCGCGTCAACCAATCAGAGAGACTCCACTGTGTGACGTAGTGACATATTTCCCGACGGGACAGTTTACTGAAAGATGGAGAGGAGCTCTTTAGCTGAAATGAGTGCCTGCAGTCGGTGTCCTGACAGGAGATATCTGCACCAATGCGTGGCAGCGGCTCATCAGACTGGAAAAATAGTCCTGAAAGCGAGCTGTGAGCCTCTACTCTGAATTATCTGGTGAATTAATTATGAATTAATTATCTGGTGAACGTGACATGCTCTTGCTCTCTGTAAATAAAGCAAAGCCACTTCCTCGTCTGACATTAAACAGAGCCCGACAGAGGGGGGAGGCTATTGCCGTGCAGCGCTTCAAGAGCTGACCTGTGTCTGACCTCAAAGTGCACAAGCGTCCAACTTGAAGCGTTGGCTGAGATTTTGAAGCTGAAATCGCGTTCGGTGTGAACGCAGCATTAGAATCTTATCCTTTTGGTCCATATGGTAATGTGTGACTGGGCCTCGTGTCACTTTATGTGGAACAAATTGGGCCCCGAAGTCAAAAAGGTTAAGAACCCCGATTTAAAGTCATATTTAATTTTGGTAAATACAAACATATTTCATAACAACTGAAGGTAACAAAGTAACTTGAACCATGTGCCTGGAAAATACACAATCACCCGTTTTCATGAACCACTACACAAATTTTATTGAAATTTCTAGGAAAGAATTATTAAATGTGCTTCTGCAGTTGATTAATGTTAATGTGGGGTCTATCCAATTCTAGATGGCTGCCGCTATTAAACACAAAATTTAGTGTATTCCAGTGTTGAACTGTGTCTGTAAGAGCTGGGCCTTCAGCTCAGATAAATTATTGTAGCAACTTGCTAAATGCTAAAATTGCAACACTAAGGAGTCACGTTCTGATTACATCACTTCCTTGTTTTAAGTTTCACAAWTCAGAAACCTGCCAAACATTAGGTACAACATCTATATAGTGCCATTTCCTTTACAGTCACTACTAACAACCTGTACATCAGGGGTGCCCAACCAGTTGCTGATTCCCAGGTGCCCGCGCAGCGCAACCTTGCTGCGGAGCCTCTAGTGCCGGCTTTGAGCGTTGCATCCCGGAATGGCTGGTATTGTTTGAAAGCTCTGGTTYTGCCGTACAAGGAGATGTTGAATGAAGTCCCTGCAACGTTCCCCCGCGGAGCAATAAGCAAAAGACYTCCAAAATACGCACCGTCTGACCTCCCGCCAGGGTGGTTTTAGCTGCGGTCCTCCTCTACAAACTGGATGTAGTTGCAAGTTCCTGGGATGTTCTCCCGCGGAGCTATTAACCAGTGACCGGCTGAAAAAGGCGCTTTGGYGGGCGATATAGTACTAAATTTACTCCGGAGCCTCTAGCSCCGGCTCTGAGCGTCGGATCCKGGCGGGAGACGRCTCTAATGTTCTGGATCTCCGCTACAACCTGGAGGTAGTTGCAAGTTCCTGGGACGTTCCCACGCAGAGATACTGTATGAGCGATCAAATGTCGTCGGGCGAGCTCCGGCRGGTGAAACGGCYKATTTCCAGCACGGGGCTGCTWGTGCTGATGCAGGGGAATAAAAGGAAGAGATCCAGTGAGGTGGAACCATGGTCCTACATCCAGCACCCGCTCTYCCRCCTGGATTTAGTCAAGAAACCCCTGGCGGGTGATATTTCTGCAAAAATGCATAAAATTCAGAAACCCACCTGATGGATTTGTTCCAGGCAATAAAAGGAACAGCTCTGATCAGGTGAAACCGGTCCTGGAAGCTCAGCACCGGGTTTTATAGCYGCCTGTAAGAGAATTTTATATTATATGCTTTGATTTTGAAAAAAAAAAAAGGGCGGCACTCTTGTGGTAGCCATGTTGTCCCTGATATTTTGTTTTGTTTTTCCTCCCCTGTATGGAGAGAAGAGAGGAGAGTTCTTGGAATAAATGGAGACGAGTTCCCGTGCTCCAAAGATTTTAAGTCTGTGGTTCTCAGTGTGCAGGTTTCCAGCCCTCATAGCTCGCATGTTACAGTGAGTACTAATTGAAGGAGGTTAAAAAAATTGATCCTTTTTGTTTGAGCATCACTTTTATGTTTCTCTGTCAGGAGTTAAATAAGGATTTTATCTTTTTTTTTTGTAGGTAAATACAGTATATGGTTAAGTAGATAGTTTTGTTTGACAATACTTCAAATAAAACTAGCAACATATTATTTTCTGTTTTATTTACTTTAAATAGTGAGGAGTAGGGAGACCATATTATGTTTTTTGATGCTGAGACTGGACGAGTAGTTCTTGGCAAACTGCCGACTTCAAAAGTAGTTCTTGGTTCAAAAAAGGTTGGGCACCCCTGCTGTACATAAATGCCASCTCAACACAAAACAGAACATCCAACAGSAAAAACCAATTACTTGAAAAAGTCCATTCATTTCTATCCCAAGACTATCCAACATCCCTAGTGGTTCACCCAGTTTCTCCAAGACATTACTATTTTCTGATTAGTTAAAAATGTGCTCAATGAATTGTCTTTGTGGTGCATTCAGGTACAACGTGTAATTTCAGTAATTCACACTGAAATTTACCAGTAACTCACAAAATTTACTGTAAAATTGAATTGTATAATCAAACCATATTATAAATGTATTAGTGAAAATATCAGTGTAAGCCTAATTTTTTTTAAATGACTGCAATTTAATCTCATATGTGCTGAATTTATAGGCCCTCCAGACTTTTTTGAATTGAACAAACCTCGCTKTAAAAAACATCTTCAATTACAGAATAGGAAGTCCATTAAAAAAATAAAACTGTATGGAAAACTGAGCAAACTTGAATTTTAAGCTCTATTCATTAAAGAGTTTTGTTTTTTTTATTACAGGTTTGTTGCAGCTGTTCTGTATTAAAAAGGGAATAAAAAAGTAGAGAGGAAAAATAAACACCATCCCCAACAGATTGTTATATAATTCTAAATTTACAGATATTGGCTGATTGGTTACTCATCCCTGTCATAACAGTTAACGCCCCTTTTCAGCTGTTGTTAAGCGTTGTTGCAAAAACACAGGAAGCCAGCTGCAGATGAGGCAAGCTCAGGGAACATGGCTCCACCACAAATATACATTAAACTGCCCCATCGCACTATGTTTTCTGGACTACACTGAGCAGCCACCATGATAGTAAAAGGTGGGTTTTACTGAATGTGCATTAACTAWAAAACTCTGTCAGCTGGCTGCAAATATTGATCATTTTACTGCGAATTTGTCTCATGTTTGTTGACTCAAATTGTTGCTTTATTGTTATGTTTTGTCTGATGCAAGAGCAAGTGTGGAGAATAAGCTTTTTGTTAAGTAGCGCTTATGTTTTCCTTGTATCACAGAATATGTGACGTTCATGTTGATACAGGAAACTGAATTTTCTCAGTATGAGCAGTGACCACTTCTTGATTATGCACAAGTTTGAAACTGCCAAGAAAATATATATGGTTTACAGCTGAGTCAGAGTACTCTAGTATTGTTTGACTTTTATTGGCTAATCCATACAAAGTACAACAAATGCACATGAAGTCCTATTATTAAAAAAATAACAGCCTAATATTCCTTAAATGTCTGAATATGAAAAATCATGATGATAAATGACAGTTGTTATCAAGGTTTAAGCAAAACAGAATAAGATGTGCATTAGGCAATGTTGCAGTAATTTGTGTGATTTTAGAATATTTGTGCTGTGTATTGTGAATTACTGTTGTCTACTACCACACCAAATTTTAGCTCATTATTTGTAAAATCCATGTTGTAACCATTTGTGTGTGGGCTAAGGTTGAATTGATTTGGAGGCCATCTTGAATTTCAACAACTGTAAAATCAGTTGAAAATGTACATCTGGTAATTACTTTCAGAATTCTTCATTGAAATCCATGCAGTAGTTTATGTGATGTTGATTTGACAGTTAATGCCAAGGTTACAAGCAGTGTGTGTCACGCTTATACAYGTGTTGAGAACAACACTCAGTTAAACACCATCTTTTAGCTCAGTGTTTGCAAAATTTGTTWGCTAAGATGATTTTGTTTTTGGGTTGGTTCTAAAATGTAATCACTTGTAGATGTACATTATTTCCTGAAAGTTTCAGTAGAGTCTGACCAGTTTTTTTGTTAAATAATTTGCGAGCAGACAGTCAGAGTTGACTCCTGATAGTAATGGCTAATTTTAAACAAAGATCCTGCACATCTAATGATGCTCTGACTTAACTGACTTGTTATAGACATTTTTAAATCAGTTAGCTGTCACATCCATCTTGAACTGGGTTGGCTCCAAAAGTTATTTAGTTGTAGATGTATATCCAATACTTCCTGCAAGTTTAACTAATCAGTTTTTCTAATTGCTATCAAACTGTCATAAGTAGAAAAGTTGATTGTCAGAAGTGTAAGAAAGAGAAACAAAGCTCAACCAAATCCTATAGACAAGTCCAAGCCAATAATAAGGCAATGTAATCTACTTAGTGCAAAACATTGGTTTCAGTTTCAWCAAAACAATAGCTAAAATGTGATTGTTGGCCCACGCCCTTCAGGAAATGCGTGTTGTAACATCTGTTCTGTGCTTTTTTGTTCTGCAGTTCCCTCCAAGCTGCAGTCACAACCGTCATCTCCGCAGCCTCAGTGCTCGTCACCTCCCCTCACCACCACTAAAGTCATCTCTCCCTCACAAAAACACAGCAAGAAAGCTTTGAAGCAGGTACTTGAAACAAGCTTTGCATTGAAACAGTATATTTAAAGTGTGTGCTCAGCTAAGTTACCGTGTACGTTATTGTACTTTTCATAGAGGTAACATAAGTTCTTGCCACATCTTCATATTCACATAAACCTTCCAACTCTGCAGTCCACATAATATGTACTCTTTGTCAGTAAATTAATATATTCATATAGTTTAATAAATAACAAATAAAATACAAAACAGCTTTATTGAGTACTTGAAGATATCTTGATTCCCATCCAGGTAGCTGAACTGGAGCGTGTGGAGCTCTGAGCTTTAAACTGCATGTGCATGTTGATATCCTAGCTAGGCAAATAACCAGTTAGGATAGCATTTTTATGTTTTTTTTTTTTTTCCTGTCCTTCTAGCGACATGTTCGACTTGGTAGTGTAGAGTTCTAGCCTGGCCCTTGCCTTCCTACGCAGTTCCACTCAATTCTAGTTTCCCTTCACTGCTCCGTCTGGGACTTCTCCCATAGAGATGGATTTCGCTGGCAGATTTTTAGCCGGGCCAATCAGAGAACAGAACGTCAATTTTCTGCACAGTGTCTGCTTGTAGTTTATTTTACCTGGGCCAATCAGCAAACAGAAGGAGGAGTTTTGAATGACGTCGATGTTCTGCGCAGTGTCTGCTAGTTAGTTTAGCATACGGCAGTGGAGGAAGAGAATGAAGCCAGTCCRTGTTGATAAGGCTTCCAAATTAAATTAAATTTGTCTGAAAAAGCAGCAGCTCTCATTTACAGTCGTCTCRTTCGGCTCGGTACTTCTCTCCTCTCAGTAGGGTTGTTTACAGCACACGCGATTTCCAATTAGCTTCTTAGCTTAGCCTCCTTCACACTGACAGCACACACATGCTTCAGCAGAGGCCACGCCTCCTGCAAGAATCGCTGGTCAATGCAGCGAGTCCAGACCCTTGTACGAAGCAAAGTGAAGGACAAGGGTTTGGTTTTAACCAGGCTAGTAGAGTTATAATGACAGATAATTTGTATTCCAGTGGGTGRTGAGAGTCAAACACAAGTTACAGATGTGTGTGAGTTGGTGTCCTTTGAATCTTGATGGCTTCTATCTCTTTCCATGTGTACCTGTGTAAAGAAGGCAGCTTGTTGTTATTCRTGTCCTATCTGGTGAACTTGATTAGCTTGGATTTTTACCCAGATGCCATCCACGTATCTGAACCAGTGGTGTATTTTGGACAGAGAAGAAAGATYAAGAGGAGGTGAAGTAAACCATTATAGTCAAACCAAAAAAAAAGTCAACTTTAAACAGAGGAGATTTCCAAAACTTACAATACAGTATAAAACCTGATACCCAGTCAGATTCACTCTGCCGATACCTCCATGCATGTGACCAAAACATCTTTCTTGTGAGCCATCAAACAAAAACCATACCTACATATCAGACAGGGGTGGTCCAGATTTGTGGTCAGCTGGCACTGCTGGCTGACTGCTGTGGCAAGTGGTTTGTTGCCGGATGTGGGCCAGGTCTGACAATGCACTGACTTGGTTGTGTTTATGTGATGCTGGCCAACGCATGGAGCACCTAGAGCAAACTTCATCTAGGCCAGCAAAGGGCCTCTTTCTTTGTGGTATCTGTGTCGAGTGTTAGTGTTTAGTGCATTGTGTGGGCCAAAACTGGGCCAGACAAATTTTGCTATGTGGGTAATGACTGTGTAGTGGGAGGGGAGGGAGATTATTCTGCTTATGAATTTATCTGTATAAATTGAGAATTTCATGCAGTTTAAAGCTTAGAACTACACTTCTTAGTTTTGAATTGAGAACGATTCCCTGTTCAGAAATAAAAAATCTTCAGCTATAGAATAAAAGGCCAGTTGCTTTGTTTTTTTTTAAACTTTTTTTTGGATTTGTCCTTTCCTGGATGACTGAGAATCTACAAGAGTTTCCAAATCCCAAATGGCTTTTCCATGAATGTCACTGTTTCTTACCTATTTTCAGTCACATACATACATAAGTAAACAAACACACGTGGTTGCTGGCAGCTGTTCACAAATTGAAATGACACATTTTTAGTTTAAGGACACATAAACCATCAACATGAGAAAAAACGTAAAATTAGTCTTATTTTATGATTGTTTTTTTGACTGGTCTTCATGACTTTCCATGACTTCCAATAATTTTTTGAATCTACTGGAAAATGAATGATATTGTTAAGCGATCTGTTTTATTGCTATGTTGTTGTGTTGTTATTTAGCTGCTCCCATGGGAGCAGTTATAAGCAAACAGAATTAAGAGAACATGTTTTCATTTTCTTATATATACTGGGGCTGGGATCTGGTTCCTTCCCTGTTTTGCGCCTATTCAGGCCTTGAAGCAACAGCAGCAGAGGAACCAACGCAGACAGGGTGGCATGCCAACCATCTCCAGCTCCAGAATTCTTTTGAAAACCATTAAAGATATGGCAGATAATATTACAACAAAGACTGGTAGGTTACAAGCCACTGTACTGTTAAAATAAATGTAGAAAGCAGTTCCATACATTGTTTGAAAAGTGTATGGTGTATGTGATTGGTTTATAGAGTTTATTGTTAAACAGTTTTTGGGTGTTGTCACATCATTTGGCATTTTCATTATGAAAGCAAAGGGTCATCAATTAATTTAGACTTGCCTAAATGTCACCTTTTTACTGTGTAAAGTAAATCTGTCATTTGTCCTGTAGTTTCACTTTTCCCTTCTCCTCCTTTATTTTCTGTCTAAGCAGAATTGTGCCACCCAGTTGTACCCAGAAAAGTTTCCCAGAGATCTGGTCGCCTCAGTACAGGTAGGTGGAACAGCTGGTATAATGTAGTCTGATGCTTTGTCAGTCTTGAAATTTGATAATGTTTCTTTGACAAGATCAAAACAAGCAATTAACAAACTGTTTGACCTCCACAAAAAAAATTACATGCCTAACTACACCAAAAATAAATAGTATTAAAAACTGGCCCAAATTTGAATGTAACAGTTGTACTATCAGCAAAAATGTGCGCATCAGAACCGCAGCACGCAGGACTTCCTTGTTTTTTCCTGGGTCTGTGGCTCAGTCCCGCCCCCGTCTTTTTTTGTCCAGTGGGAGCAATGATCGTCACCCTCATGGCTTTGTTTACAAGTTATAGTTCATTTGCAAAAAAGCACAATGTGAATGCAAACCGCACCAAACGAAAAAAAATAAAGTCCACTTTTGGTCCGGACCAAACAAGTGGACCAAAGGACTTTCCTGGTCTGAATACACCCTGAGTGACAAGAGATGCCTTGGTGCACCAAATGTCASAAGTGTCACTTGGGCTGAGGAGAACTTGATTGTTGCTTCCTGGCCTAATGTCCTAAAAAAATAAAAGTAAATTTCGCATTTAATTTGAAAATAAAGCTCCCAGTGTGTAGTTTCCACAGTAAGCAATGATTTAGGCTACATGTCCTATGCTGAAGTTGGTCCATTGGGTTTTCTGAAGTCCACAGTCAACACAGGAAATTTTAGAGCTCTACATCCCTCTTTCTGCTGACAAGTTTTATGGAGATAGTTTAATTTTCCAGTAGGAGTCACAGCCTACACTGCCAAAAGCAAAAGCTGGTTGGGTAATATTTAGATTTTCTGAGGCACTGAATTTTGGTTTTCCACTATTTGTAAGCCATAATCATCAAAATTACAAGAAAGAAAGACTAGGGGTGAACCAACTGCAGTTTTCTGGCAGATCACGACCTTTAAAAAGCCTGACCTGCCAAGTCAGATTTTGGCCGATACCGATTTTTATTTTTATTTTTTATAACTGACGCTGTCAGCTACATTAACGTCACAATACACCTTTAATGTTCCAACCTTATTTTATTGAAAAACATTGAACAATACTCTTGAAACAATACAAACATGTTTTACCCAGACATTATGTAGTGCTCACAGCAAAAYAGGACCGTGGCAGTCAGACCTTTGTGGAGGTAGATGAGAAGCCAATCTTTTCCATTGATCTTATCTAAGTATCAGCTGGTCTCTGATCTCCCAAAAATAGGGAAATCTGTGCCCCTAATAAAAACTAGAAATATTTTACTCTGTGTGTAATGACTTTAAGTTTCACGTTTTACTGACAGACAGAAAAATTAAACTTTTTCAGGATATTCTATTTTTCTCAGATTACACATTGTAAGTTGTGAATTGTTAAATCAGGATTTGAATTTTTGTGTTTCTTGGTCCATCCTGTCTGAACTGTATTCCTTGTTTTGTGTTACAGGGCAGATAAAACGTACAAAGTACAAAATAGATGTGGAGACACCAGACTCTATTTTGGTTAACACAAACCTAAGAGCAATCATCAACAAGCATACCTTCTCAATCTTGCCTCTAGATTGCCAACAGAAACTGCTCAAACTCCTACCTGAAGTTGAYCGACAGGTGGTTGTTTTATTTGAAAATATGTTTGCCAATGTCCTTGTGTGTGGGTGGGTCTGTTAGTTAGCAAAATATCTCATGAATTGGTGGAAAAAAATAACTTTTGGAGTCGATCCAATTTAAGATGGCCACCACAACCAGCTAGTCTTAGAAAACATAAAAATGGCTGTACTTAACCAAACTAAACAATGTTTGGTGTTGTAATAGGTTAGAGTCATTCCCAACCCATATCCTGAGTGTTAACAAATCTTGTAATATTGCATTTGGTTATTCACAATATGTTTTACAAAGTTTACACAAAATGCCTATTACTCCATCCCTTCTCATCAYATGATTTTAATTTAAAACCTTTTTTTTAATCTGTTTAGTGGATTAGGTTTAGCGGAACTGTGATACTTGTTTAGCAGATTAGTGGTTATTGAACGTTTTTGCTAGCTGTACCCACCACTGCATCCTATTGAAATTTTCAAATCAATGCARTAATCCAGTGATGGTGATTGTCACATTAGTGATTTTGTTGTTMTTTTCTGCAGGCATGCTTGGATGGCCTCCTGAAGGTCACTGGCTCTGCCTTAAACAATGAATTCTTCACATCGGCAGCACAGTCATGGAAGGAGAGGTTGGCTGAAGGTCAGTTCACCACAGCATTTATTTTACTCAAACACGAGTTATATCTCCAAAGTGAACTAAGTTTTCTTCACCTTTTTTCTTTCTAGGGGAATTCACTCCTGAGTTGCAGCTTCGAATGCGTCAAGAAATTGAGAAAGAAAAGAAAGTTGAGCTTTGGAAGGAAGCTTTCTTCGAAAATTATTATGGAGAAAAGTAGGTTTTCTTATGTGAAATAATTATTATTACTTGCTGTTGAAAGGTGAAGACAATGTTTTCACTATGTCTCTGTGTATCTTTGGTGATTGATGGATATTGTGGTAATGTTATGTATTAGCTCAGCGCTACACATTCTCTCATCACTGAGGTCCTCCATCCACATGACAGAGAGGGGAACGCAAAAATGACTCAGCCTGCAACTGAAAATATGGATGGAGGACCTCAGTTTAGCTTGTTTGTCGCGCTAGCGCTGAGCTAATACATATAAGTAGAGGTGCAACGATACAGGAAATTCACGGTTCGGTTTGGTTCGATAATTTACTCTCACGGTTCGATATTTTTTCAATACAAAAAAGAGAAATGTCCATGCCCCTTTTAACTTGTAATTTATTTAAATTAATTATGAACATTTGTTTAACCTCAAAAGTACAGTTTTTAAATTAAATGTTGCTGAAACAGCAAAGTTTCTCAGTGGATCTGCGCTCAAAAATGCAGCCTAGGTGGAGTAGTCGAACACAGATCCACTGATCCTTTAACACAGTGCATCTTCAGAAAACAAGTTGATAAAGTAAATTTTTAAAATCTGTATTGTTTGATACGGTTCGATACGGGTACATGTATTGTTGCACCCCTACATATAAGGCAATATAGCGTCAGCACTAGCGCAAAGGCTAACAGGCTAAGCTGAGGTTTTTCTTCCATGAAGCAGCTCTGTTGTCCTCCATCTATATTTTCTTTGCCTGGAACTTCTTGTTCCAGGCAAAATGTTTCTTAATCGTTTCTGTTTTCTTCAGTTGTTGTGGCAGCTGACATAAACACAAGTTAAACCCGAACTTGTGTTTGAACTACTCAAGCCACCAGTAAAAGCAAAATGTAATGTAATTTGTGACTAGAATCTTCACATAAACATGATGTTCAACATCAGTTATTATTTTATTTTTTTCTGTGATCTTTGAACAGTTCTAAACAATTGTGATACTCAAATTTATTGACAAAAATTTGTCAGTTTTTTTTTTTTAAAAACGTCTAATTTTTTAGAGATAAAAGTCTTGATTTCTTTTTTCCTTCCCTCATCTCTCTCTGTAGTTCAGGCCTCAGCTATGAGGAATCCAAAGAGCTGACAAAGGCTGTGCCAAATCAGAAGTCTGCTAGGCCTCGGACCCCCCCTGATCAGACAAGACCTGTCACTAAAGCTCTGGAGGACACTATGAACAGTAATCTGAGGAAGGCTGCTGCTGATGACATTAAACCAACACAGACATCACGAGAACCTCTCAAAGACCACCCTGGTCAGAAAGAGTCTGTGTCCATCACAGAGCCCATGAGGACACGGCGCTCACATAATTCGGAGGATCGTAAGTTGAACCCAGCAGCACAGACTGGGTCGACGCCTGCTGGGAAAACACCAGAAGTTGAGAAATTGACTGAAAACTGTTCACCATCTGTATCCCCTGAAAAGGAGCTTAATGAGGAGAAGAAAGCTAAAGTCCCTCAGTCACCTGTAAAGGAAAGCCCTCCACCGAACGCTGGGACAGATTTGCCAGAGGTTCAGCTGGGGACTCCTGTTAAACCTTCTGTTAATAGTAAAGATATCACAGAGCCCAATGTCACATTAGACACTCAGAAAAGGAAATCCCTCAGTGAGTTGGAGGGCGAGGTAACACCAGAGAAAAGACCCCGTTTGTCCTCAGTTTCTTCAGTGTCTTCAGTGTCTTCATCTCCTTCAGCATCATCCWTGTCCAGCCCTGCTACACCTTCTCCAACAAGTCAGAAAGTTCCACCACTCAAGGTGAGAAAATACTGTATAAAACTCCCAGACTCCACTGATCTGGTTTCTGAGTATCTCGGACAAAATGCTTTGTTCCAGAGAGAAGCAGCTTTGGTGGCTTGGATTTGCATTAATCAAAGGGAATTTCTGAGTTGTGTGAAAGTTTTTGTCGTATTTCCATTAACTAACTACCTATTAAAATAAAGGCCATATTGTCACATTTCTCGCTGTAGTTTTAAACTGAAATATTTGTATAGTTTAGTAGGTATTCTGGGTAGTTTCTTCTTTCATGAAATGTTTTGGCTCTCCTCCAGGAGACTTCTTCAGTAGAAGACCTACTAAACTTTTTCTTGATTTTTCTACCTGTATTACTGAGATGCATCAGGACATTTTGCTTGATTCTACATAATTTTTGTGAAGTATGTTAGCTCTCAGAGTATGTGTTGAATATGACTCGGCCCAAGTTTTAGTCAATATTTGTAATATTGCCTGATTTATACCAATTTTTGTGTTGGATGAAGTTGATWAGCTTTGGAAGTAATCTTGAATTGGGTTGACGCCAAAAATTGATTAGTTGTTAATAAACATCCAGTAATTAATTATTTTCTGAGCATTTCATTAGAATATGTGTAGTGGTTCATGGGGTATTTTGCTACAATTTTAATCAAAAATATTGTAAGATGTGTATTGCTTGGGGTTTGCATTGATGATGATGGTTAGCTACTACAACACCAAATTTTTGCTCCGTATTTGTAAAACTGGCATTTTTTGTGTTTTCTATTGTTAAGCTATGGCAGCCCCTTGAATGAGTTAAACTGCAAATTTTACTTTCAGCAAATTTCAATAAATTCCTTCCAGATGGTTATAAGATATAAGATTTTGCTAACAGATAAACACAGAGATATTACCTTTCACCTTCAAGAAATAATATCCCTAATTTGTAACAGCATGGTTTTATAGCTGACTTTTTTTCCCTGTATTTTATTTTATTTTTTTTTACCAATTATTATTTAACACAATGTATCTTACTTTATTTTCAGATCTCTGTGTCAGGTATTCTTCCTGTTCCTCTGTCACCCAATCAAATCTCACCAAGAACTCCTCTCCATGTCCCACTTAGCAGCCCAGGACGCACTGGTGCTCGTACTTTGGCTGACATTAAAGCCAAAGCTCAGCTTGCCCGAGCACAGCGAGCAGCAGCAGCAGCCGCAGCCACCTCAGGATCAACAGCATCAAGGGCAGTAGTTCCAGGCCCAGGTCCAGGGGGCGGTAGTAGTGATCAGAAGCCACCCAGTTTCAGTCCCACCCCAACGTATCCTCAGGCTTCAAACAGGTTATTAGCCACCAGCAGCAGCAGCAGCAGCAATCAGTCCAGTACACTGTCTCCTTCCCCAGTAAATGCTCATGAACTGCCAATCTCAAGCTGGTCCCCGACTGACAGCACGCACAAAGGTAACCCTATTGATTTTGTCAGCACAGGATCCTCAAACATCCAAAAGAGTTTAAACACATCAGCTCAGCCTTCATCCACGTCTGATACAAAGGAGCAGGTCGTCCCAAAGGGTTCTGGATCACTAACCAGAACCAGTTCTTGCATCCCTGCCAACAATCCCTTGGTGACTCAGCTTCTGCAGGGCAAAGAAGTTCCACTGGAACAGATCCTCCCAAAACCATTGTCCAAGCTGGAAGTAAAAGTGTCCAACCTGCCCACACAGCCAGTGAGTAAAGTAAAGACGTCACATTATGTCGAACTAAAGGCTGAAAGGCCTGTGCTGCAGCAGGTCAACACAGCGGGACGGCCTGGGGGTTTCTCAGAATACACAAAACATTACAGGGAACTTCCCAATAAGGAGACCCAGGAGCAGATCCTCCAGGCACTAATGCAGCGGAAAGATAGGCAGAACCAGCTTACTGGAGGTTTAGACCCTCAGTCTTCACAGCACCGAGTGCATCAGATGATGCWTGCAGAGGAGTGTCAGGACCAGTCCAGAATTTCTGTTGGCTTTCTTTGTCGAAACAGGGTTCCCAGGCCAGCTATGACGGGACATTATTTACTTAATGTGTCAACATATGGCAGAGGAGCAGAAAGCAAGAAGCTGTCAGTTTTTCCCAACAAAGCCGGATCAAGTTTAAAAAGGGAAAGCACAGAGAGGGAGGAGGTTGCTAAGGAAGACATAGCCAAGAAAGTTTTCCTGACCAGTTGTGGGATGAAATCAGAGCAGCAGGGATATTCTATAACAAAGTGTGATGACACAGGAAACTTTCAGCACTGCTCCGCTATAAAAACTGAGCCAGGATCGGAGGACAGTGCAGCTGATGGGGATAACAACAACAACATCAGTGCAAAAGCCAAAGACACCAGCCCTTTTTCTCAGCCACGCCAAAATCACCTCGAACTCTGCAATAGTACTCAAGGAAAGTCCGAGCCATATCTTTCCAACACGGACCCGAGTCACCAGCGGCCGACTGCCTTTCAAACCCAGAGAACAATGGACAATCAGGAATCTGCAGTAGCAGCGTGCTACGGCGGCACGGTCAGCATGTCTGTACCTCACACTCTGAACCACARCACCACAGGTACAGAGGTGGATGGTGGGGGCATCTGTGGGAGCGTCATGTCCTTCTCAGTGACGGTTACCACCATACCTGCCAGTTCCACATTAGAACATGGCGGTCAGGGCGAGCCCTCACCCAATCCATCGTTCACCGAGGGCTCCAACATGGAGGACGTCAAGTCTAAATGCTACTGCCGACTGAAGGCAATGATCATGTGCAAAGGGTGCGGGGCCTTCTGCCATGACGACTGYATCGGCCCTTCAAAACTGTGTGTCTCATGTTTGGTGGTACAATGATATAAAATAATAATCACTAAACAATGTAATTATTTAACTTTTACACATTGAGGCACAAAGCAGCATCAGAGGGGTATACTACGAAGCAAGTTCAACAAAGCTTGGCTTGACAGAAACTAAAACGCTTGTAAGAAATCACAGGTACTACAATGGTGGTTTTGATGTTACTTTGTGAACTCAGACTTTCTGCTTTAGTCTMAGATTGTGCTCACATGAAAACATCCCACTTTCGATTCACTTTTTCCACTTAAAATTAACAGATTCAATAAATAAAGTTACGGGGGAGGAAAAAAATTGCTTGTATTAATAGAAAGTGAAGAGCATTGGCTCAAGAGCCTAATGGGGGAAATAAAATATTCCTCATACAATTTGCTGAAAACTGTTGATTATAATAAATCAGATATGGTACTTGCTGCTGTTTAGGTTGGGACAAAAAAGATTTGAAATTTATTTTACAATCARGAAGTTTATTTAGCTCTGACACTGTCCCTTAATGTGCAGATCACTTTATTGAGCAAATCAAGTCTGTTATTTATTAAATATTTAATTTACAGAAGTACTATCAAATTACTTCTATAACTGTTTTATCAAAATTACAGCAAATTCAGACAAAATCTAAAATAAGATGTTGCAGTTACAGTCCATTATTTATCATTAATTGATTCAGTTTGTTACGCAATTCTTTGTTTTAAGCTTACTGCATYTAATGGCACAGAGTTGAAACATGGCTTAGAAGTGAATTCAAGTTTCTAAGCCATATTTTTCTGTTTTTCTCCTATGCTGAAAATCAYGTGAGTTAAATTATGAAAAAAATTCTGCTCAAACTCAATTATTAATTATAGCAGTGGTGTCCATTTCTGGTCCTCAAGGGCCACTGTCCTGCATGTTTAAGATGTTTTTTTTGCTTCAACACACTTGATTTGAATTAATGAGTGATTAACAGGCTTCTGCAGAACATGAAGACACGATAAAGAGCAGAGAAACAACTACAATATTCAGGACAGAGGATCCTCAAGGACCAGGATTGGACAGTAGTGGATTATACTTATTTTATTTGACAGATAGGATGATTAAATAAAATCAATCTGAAAAAAAAAAAAMAAWATAAATGTAAAAAAAACCCAACCACAACTATAGGATTATTAGACACTGTGTCTGTTTCACATTCAGAATCTGAAAGTTGGTTCCACAGGAGAAGAGCTTGATAATTAAAAGCTCTGCCTCCCATTCTACATTTAGAAACTCTAGGAACCACAAGTAAACCTGCAGCCTGTTCGCAAACTGCTCTGTTAGGAGAATATGGAACAAGTTCTGTAATATATGGAGCTTGGTTCAGAGTTTTTTTCATCTTAATAGGAAGATTTTAAATTCTGTTTTGATATGACAGCGAGCCAGTGACAGCAGAGTGTTTAAGTTCATGATCTCTGACAAGCTGACATTTRTTTTAAATGTTGCACTCAGGCAGATGTTGAGTCAGATTTCTGTATGGGATATCTTTAGGAACAGATTTGGTAAATAGGTTTTGCTTATTACTGACTAAAACTCCTAAGTCTCTGCTACCATGGAGATTCTAGATGCGTTTAAGAAAAGACGTGAACTGAACTCTATAACTTTCAGCTCATCATAGCTGATTAAGTGGAAATTCTAACTTCGTAGTATCCCCCTCAGGTTATTTCAAGTCGAAACCACACTCACCAACACAAACCAGCCACTGTCTGTTGGAGAAGCTAGAATTTACACTGGATGATCTTGTTTTTTCACAATCATTTTATACTGAGGCAGTTATAAAGTAGAAATAAATTTTTAATCAGTCTATTAATCTGTCAAGTTCGTGAGAAATCTCCGATGTTTGCACTCAGCTAGATTAGTGTAATATATATTTTTATAAACTTGTGTATTTTTAAAAAAATATGGGAGGGAAAATGAATGTTGCTATTTTTTAGGACTTCATGACTGTTGTGCTTTTAAATGGAACCTTTTTATTATTGGGTCAAATAGATTATAGTTTATTTAAAATGAGCACTAATGATAATCATAGGATGTGTAGTACCTCCTATTTGGAATTTATGCATGTGTGGCAGGAAAATGCAACTAATACAAATTATTTTATATAAAAAAAGGTACATTATTAAAACACTCAAAATTTAAAAAGTAAAAATACATATTTGATTTGAGTGTGTTTCAATAATAAGAATTTAATAGGATTAAATGTATACATAGGTTACCCTATTTTAATTGCACATTATAACATCAAGGTAATTTGCCAAAGCACTTAAAAGCTCCCAAGATATAAGGTAGAAACTGAGTAAAGCACTTAGAGTGAATTAATATAGACGGTAAAGAAGAATTACCTATATAAAATATCTTTTTTTAGGCAAACAAAATCTTTTCTATATTGAATAAAGAAAAAAAGTTGCCTTCCACAGTTCAAATTTCCAGAAGAAAATGTTTTCTCTAAAATTGTCTTTATACATAAATTCCCCCAAACAATAAATAAACAGTGGTGGGCACAGCGAAACAAAAAGTTAGCTTCACTAACTACTAATCTGCTAGACAAGAATTTTGGCCCCACTAAACATAAAAAATTAATGAAAGCTAATGCTAACAGCTAAGATGATGTCATCATAGTCAATTTTTGTGTTCGTTATTTAAATATTCTTAAATGTTATTTTCTTTTTGGCACTGTTAGTTCGAAGTTTAGCTGCTAAAGATGCTACATGCTACACACATGGTGACRTGTGACACTGCGTGTAAGAGGGGATAGTTTTTATTTTTACCTAATTTGGGATAAATGGCATAAAAATAGAAGTTTTACACTTGGATATTTTTAGTGGACTTAAAATTAGCGGAACCTAAAACTGTTTCCAAAGTTTGCACAAATCTAGTGTGCTAACCGAGAAGCTAGTATTGCTATTAGCAGATTAGCGGGACTGTGCCCACCACTTTAAACAAAGTCATAATTTCAAGGCCTAGCATTCCTAGAAAGAATGGATATCATCCATCGCCTTTCATGCTGAGTGTTGAGCTGACATCTTAATTTGAGAAATGACGATATTGTAGCTTTTTTTGGTCCAGCTTTGTAACTGACGTTATGCAAAGTCTCGTGCGATATTGCAAGACGTTGATATATTAGCGCTCAGAGTTTATGTTGTGAATGACTTTCAGCTACTACAAGACCAAATTCTTGCTCAGCAACTAAAATTAAACCAATTTTAGTGTTTCCTAAAGTCAGTCATTTGTGGCGGCCATCTGGAAATGTGTTGACTCCGAGTTAATTAAYGGTAGACGTTCATCCAATGATTATTTTCTGAAAAGTTTAATCAAATTCTTCCAGATGTTTATAAAATGTTTTTTTAACAGTACAAGCAGCCACACACTCAAACACAGGCAAAAATGTCACCAGCTCGCCTTCAGTGGCAACGGGTGGCAAAGTGAACCAATGCAAATGGAGAAAATGTAGACTGTTTCTTCCTCTTTTATGTAAATACTTGCATTTTTGTGTTTCAACTAATGTTGGGAATCAATGCTGTGTTTCTTGTTCAGCACACCCTGCTTAAGCACATCCAGCTTTTTATGGCAAAAATAATTTAGACGATGGGATTAAAAAGGGGGAAAGCAGTAAATTTTTGCAAATGTTTTACGACAATGATTCTACACAGCATGCCTAATTTTATATAAAATCATCAGGAAGTAGAAGAAATCACAATCAGTAACACTTAACCTTTTTTTACAAGCTACCAAACTAGTTCTCTTCCATTTTAAGGTGATATTTTCAGGCTCAAATGAAATCACCTTTATATGTTGTGTATGATCTGCACATGTGATGCAGAGAATACGTTGGGTTAAACAGTTTKACATTTGTAAGCACATTGTGAGGATTTTGACAAAGTCCTTTTTTTAATCCCCGTTTGAGCTCAAAAAGGTGTGTGAAATTTTTACCTCTTGCTTTCCTTTTTTTCTACAAAAGAGCAAAAGATGACACAAATATATTTTATAATCAGCAACAATGGGCAAAATGGTTTTTTTTTTGTTTGTTTTATAGCAGTTTGAAGGTAACAAGTCTCCTTTAAAAATCAGAAGTTGTTTATATTTCAGACTAGTTAAAGTAATATATTTTAATTAATATATTTTAATATAAAAGATATATTTGCTTTTTTTCTTGTTTAGACAAATCAACAGGGTATTTACAATAGTACTATACTGGCCGTCCGTTTTTACCTATAATTACTTGTAGACAAGACAGATCACCGTACATGATTACTTGACTTTATATATTAAATTGCCCGGGTTTGTCTGAAATTCTGTACGAAGCGGATTTTCAGTCAATCTATTGGTTTGTACTTTTCCATAAATACTTTGTCTATGTTCCCATCTGTCATCACTTTAGACATTCAGTTTATTTTTTGTTATCACTGTACTCTTAATGGTGTTTTCTATGAAATTACAGGGTGATGTTTGTTGAAAGTGAGTGTCCACACGCAGAACAGAGTTTTCACTAAACCTGATCTCCTTGCATTTAGTTTTGTCATAGTTTGTATTGATCTCATGTGAAGATGTAGGTCTGGTTTGGAGGAATGTGATATAAGAATGCTGAATTTACTCTTGTCCAGCTTGGGACTGTAAGGGCAGCTGAAAAATGTTGGTGGCTACAATAACATAAGACAGCAGTCTCTGTTAGAATAGCGGTTATTGTGGGCAATCAGCACCATTTTCATTTGTTTCATGTCGGTCTCTTTTTGTCTCCAATAAAACTCCAGTGAATGTAACATAGTAATCTGCACTTGTAAACAAAATGTATTTTATAAAACATGATTGACTATTATAAATACATTTGAAAAATAAAGACATGTTTTGTTTATTTAGAGTTGCGGATGTCRCACCAAGAAAAGCATTCAAAAGCTCGTTGAAGCTGCTGAGGATCATTCAGTATAGAAAAAATATTTGCTTTTAATTACGGCCGACTTCTGAAGCAGACAAAGTTTAGTTTTTGTTGTCTGGAAGCTGGTAAAGCCACCAATTATTTATGATGGACAAACGTGGTACAGAGTGTGAGTAGGGTTGGGCAATATTGGCAAAAAAAATCACAATTGTGGTATTTAGCCGATAACGATTAATTTGATGATTAATCCCCTGGAGTCCCTGGACACCCTTATGTCCTATAGCCACATGACCAATTTAGTGGGAAAGATCTGCTATTTGTAAAAAAAAATGTTCCAAATTGTGTGAAAATTACAGATTTCAGTCTATACATCCTATTTTAAATTGTGTTTATAGATAAATTACAGAACTTTATTTTTAATGTTCATCATATTTGAAGCAGAGAGGAGCAACAAGCAGACTGACCAGAAAAATATCCAGTCAGTCTGCCTGGTGGCATTAATCGTATTGTGTCAAGTGCCAAAAAGTAATCGATTAATGTTTTTCTGACRATTAATTGCACAYGATAAGATTATGCCCAAMCCTAAGTGTGAGTGTGTAAAATGACACACTGCCGACTTTGCAGGTTTTCCAACCTACAAAGAATGTTGAGGTCCTTATTTATTGTAGGTACAATTCAGCTCTGAGAGACAGATTCTTGAAAAGAAGGGAAAAAGGAAAAAAAATCACTTTGTTTGATTTTTAAATAACTAACATTACATTAGAGATTNATATGAAAGATCTCTCACTCTGACAAACATGAACAAAGACAACATTAAAAATTCTGCTTCAACACTTACACTGTAGTCTTTGATGAGGTGATCAACAGACTCCCCAAGGTACACCGTCAAGCACTGAATAACCAGATCTCTGGTTATGTCAATGTTAGGATTGGGTGGTGACTGAAAATTATAAGAAAATATACAAATTACCACCATCATATGTGACTATTTATATAGACAAAACAATGAGAAATGGCATTATTAAAAAGTAAACTGTTAAATATCAAACTGTCATCACCTGGAACATTATGTGGGATAATTAGTTCATGTTAATGTGTAGAGTCTGACAGAGACATAAAGAGTTCAAATCAATAGTTACAGAAGTAAGGACAATTTGATACGACATTCTTCAAGTTGTATGATTTTAGTCATCTGGGGCCTCATTTATAAAGGGTTGTGTGGAAACCATACTAAAAGTGAACGTACGGCCAAAAGGCGACAATGGCGTACGCAAAATAAAATTCAGATTTATAAAACCGTACGTACACATGTTTCTGTGCACCTTTTCTTTATAAATCACAGCTGCACCTCAGAGTTGGCACACAAGGTCCCGCCTCAGGTTCTGTCCTCTACACGCCCACAAACGCGTGACAAATACAGATTTAAAAAAGTGAACCATTTATAACACATCCACACTGGCGAGGGCACACGCACCCAAAGTGTGACTATAACCATGACTTTTGCTGTAGTGCTGTTTAAATGTCTCTTGTCAGGGAGGGGTCTGTGGATCAGTGTCGTCTGAGGTGGAAGATGAGTGGAGATGCGTGGACTTTTATTAAACTTTTTTTTTCAAAAGGTCCTAATGGCGCAGAAGCATAAATATTACTGTTAAGAAAGCTTCTGATAAAGTCGAATGTCTGATTCTGAAGGTAAATTAAATATCTGACAGTTAGAGCCACACAGTGTGGCTCTAATTCCTCACTTCACCATCTGTGTCGCAGTTTCACGTCTCCAAAATGAGTGTACGCATAAATTAGAGCTGGCGTGAGGCAACGCACGCTTTCACGTCAAGTTTGGATTTTATTAATCACAACTTTTGTGTGAAAAGTGGCGTACGCAAGTTTCTGGGCTCGTTTTGTGCGTAGGCAAGCTTTATAAATCCTACCTATGGACTATATATGCTTTTAAATCTTTTAAGTAAATTAGATGTATGACTGTAATATCTTGTACTGCATGTAAGATTTTGACTGAGATCTTTAAATGAGTCTATCCACCCATCTTAAAAAGAGGGCTGAAATACAACACAACCACATCAATTTCAACATAGCTTACAGTATTGTTAATCATGAGCCACTGATTAAGTTCAATAATCCAGTAGTTTTATGTAGTAATCGGACTTAATATTGATTACCATGTTTGTGTCATTTCATAAACCTAAACTGGCCCCACAACAGGCTTGATATGTTTTAAGTAATCTTTTGTTCATAMAGTTTTTCTCCCTTCTAGGACAAAAGATAAGCCCAGCTAGATCTGTACTTATGAGAGTTTTCTACTAAGAAYAGACACATATTGATATTAAAGTAAAAATATGAAAATCATAAATGTGTTGCAGTGAATATTATTAATTATATCAATGTTTCAAAATTTCCTGACGTATTGCACTCACAGAAACAAACAGCTATTTAGTTGAGTTATGCAACAAGCAAATTACAGTCTTGAAATTTCAAAACAAAACAGATTAAATAAAATTTCAAACAAAAAGTCTGTGGAACATACTTTGGCTAAGATGGCCTGCAACTTCAATCCCATGGCTCCCCCCTTTGCATGACAAAGGGCCAATAGCTTGGGAGTATACTCATCCAGCATGGACATAAATTTGGATTCAAGGTGCACCATGGTAATCCTGTAGAACTCGTCCTGCAGCTGAAAGAAAAAAATAACAGATTAAAGCCTCAAAATATTTGAAACTTCAAATATTACATGATCTAATTTGTAACTCACATGAGTCGGTTCAAACAAAGCTGGCCATCTGGCTTTAATGTCCTCAATGCTGGGGGACATGTTGACTATTTCATGTCGTCTGTGTGCAAACGTTTTTGCCATTTTTTCTTTTATCATCTTGTTGTTGATTTTTTTCTTGACTTCAGTGATTAACTGAACTCTCTCATCTTCTTGACTACTTTCATCTTCTCCTGCTGGATATGGAGGAAGATAATTGACCTCTGCTTTCCGAGGCTTTTTCACTTTCTTTGCAGATTTCTGGTCACCTGGTCTCTTGCGTGTCACAGCATTGCATGTCACCTCAGGAACTCCAAACCCTCTAAGTTTTGTACGATAATTAGCCATCTTGTATTTGATTCTTTGTAGCCAACCATAATAGCCTGAGAAAGAGCCAGGTTCCTTGAGACAAGGGTATTTGGTCACAAGTGCCTCAGCAACACAACTAACCTGTGCACTTGAAGGATAGGCTGTAAATCTAAATATAGTTTCAGCCAACTTTTCCAAAATGTCAGTCTTTACTTTGGAGGTAGGCAGAAGAGTTCCATTCTTTTTGTACTCCTCAGTGGCATTTTCAAGGTACATCTCAGTTTCGTATGCAAACTGTGGAATGGGGAACTGCTTTGGCCAGGGCTCACATCGTTCTGTAGTCTTATTCCTTTTGAGAATAATGGTATCCTGAGAAGATGTGGTTGCAGCAGAGTCTGCATTTGATCCAATTGACTCGGCATATGATGAATCATTATCAGTTGACTGTTGACCAGAGGGGCTGCCAAGACTTTCATCAAGTGGAGCCAAGGTTAGGACGACCGGGGGTGTGCCAACAACCTTCACAGTATCTTTGTGTTTTATCTGGTCACTACTATTAAGAGTGAAGTAGTTCTCAAATTCTGAGTCAAAATACTGAAGAGTGAAGTCATTTGAAAGTCCAAAGGTATCCTTCACAACACTTTGCAGCTCCTCTACTGTTGGTGGGATCCCTGATGGAAGGACCAGCTTCTCGATGTGGTCATCAATAATTACACGGAGCTTTGCCTCCATCTCTCTCAACCTAGAATAGAACGTAAATGTGCAGAATTAAATTCAAATCTTCCCTTCCCTTCAAAATAATATAATTTAAATTTATCTCATCTGTCATTTAATCAGATTATGAGTATTGAAGAATAAGCCAATTATATAAATAAAACATTATATAACTGGTGAAATCATATGGAAGACCAAAACTGAGATAATTAGAAATAAAAGCATGAATATATAAATGAATAAATAAATACACTTAAAATGTCCCAATTATTTAAAAAAGAGAACTTTACTTCTTGTTTTATAATTTATTGACCTTCATGTTTATTTTTCCAGAATATTTCCAATATATTATATATTTTACCACATAATTTACATTTTGTTTTTAAATATATATTTTTTGTTTTTCATTTTAATTGTACATGCATTTGTGTCTCTTAAATGTTTATATTCAGTTAGTTTTTATAATTTTCCCCACAAGTCTTTATTTTCATGTGTTGCTTTTACATTTCTCTGTTTCCTGTTTTTACATTACCATATGCATTTCTGCCTCTTTGTAAATAAGGTGGACAGTCCTTGGGTCAGCTCCTTTCCTACTGGTCAACAGATATGAAGGAGCACGTTAGGAGATGAACTGAGCCAAGAAGGACTGCACACCTTATTTACATAATGAGGCAGAAATGCACAAGGTAAAGTAAAAAGAGGAAACAGAGAAACATAAAAACAACACATGGAAATAAAGACTTGTGGGAAAAATAATAAAAAATATAATCATTTAAGAGACAAACACATGTACAAGCAAAAGGAAAAGCAAAAATATATAGCTAAAAATAGTAAAATGTAAATTATGTTCTAAAATATATAATTCATTAGAACTAAGCTGGAAAAATTAATATGATGGTCAATTAAATTAATAAACATGAGATAAAGTTCTCATTTTTTAAAATTAACTGGTGCATTTTAAGTGTATTTATTTATTGGTCCTGTCATATATTTCTGATTTTATTTCTAATTATGTCAGTTTTGGTC